AAAGGGAGCCATAAATTAGAATAAGAAAACACTATTGGTGGGAATAACTGCAGAAAACTGATTCTGAGGTTAGGTATAGATTAACATATCCACATGCTAAGCAAGAAGGGGTGTTTCCACTCCCAAATAAGAGCAAAAGTAGATGGGGCCTAGTTCCCTGAATTGTGGGAAGAGAAGTAATTAGGAGTAGAGACTCATGTGAGGAAATCAGATGCTTTGGTTAGGCTGTAACCTCTGTAGTACCCAGCCAGTGGGGAAACAGGGAAGGGAAATTCAAATCGGGAATAGGGAATAAAAAGCTGTGTATCTGCCTTACGAGTGTGTGTCCACACGTGGAACACGCAGTCTGTCTAGGTCTGGCCAAGCCATTGATAAAAATTCTTCCTGGTTCAAACAGTGGCTTCATGGAATTTGTGGTGTAAGACTCTTTGCTGCTTACAAACATTGGCTATTGCCATTTTTTGATATCTTTGCCAATTTACAAGGTGTGAGGAGAAACCTCAGGGTTCATTTGATTTTTATTTCTCTTAATAGTGATTTGGAGCATTTTTTCTTAATGTGTTGTGAATATGCTGCAATTCTTTTGAGAACTGTTTGCTCATATCCTTTGACCATTTTTCTATTATAGAATGGCTGCTACTTTTATATATGTATTTATTGTTTACATATATATATATCTTGTATAAACCCTTATCAGAGAAAACCTTTCACCTATTTATTTAGTTACAAATTAAGTTAAATGGAACTCAGATTATTAAGATGATTTTTGAAAATGATTCTGAACCATTCTATAAATGTAGTTTCATTCCCTTTCCTGTCTACTAGTTAATCTGAAATCTGGCCCGCTTTCCAGTATTGGCTGTATTTCAAGTATTGGCCAGTATTCTCCTTAGCTCACTTGCAGAGGCAGGAAAATTGGATTACTCCTTGCTCTTCATTGCTGCTTTCAAGTTCTCTCTGCCTCCATCAGTCTTTTCTTCTTTGAAGTTCTTGGTATTTATATTTATCATCGAATCAGGATCCTGGTAGCTTTTGTCTACAGACTCCGGGGTTACTCCTTCTTCTTCAGTGAGTTCAGTGCCAGGAGCGCCTGCGTCCCCAGCCGTGGTCTGATGCGGGCAGAGTGTGAAAAGAGAAAGAATCAGGGGCCAGGTGGAAGATGTGAAGAATAAACTTCATTTATTGATCTAAGGGCTCAGGCTTATATAGTACTGGATCAAGCAGTAGTAACACTATTTTTCATGAAAAGTACAAATCTAATTAAGTGATTTCCTTACTTCCTTGTACCTTGTCTGTTACATTCTTTCCTGCATCCTGTCCTGTACCCTATCCGTTTCTTCTCTTCCTGCATCCTGTTCTCAAGAGACAGAACGGGGGGGTGTGAGCCGACATCCTGAGTTTCACAGCTGTCGGGCTTAGTACATGCTACAGGTAAGACTCAGGCTGGCCTAAGCCCTCCAACTCCCCAAAGCTGGCCCTCTACAGTTCAGCACATGGCTCTTTCCTCCCCAGCCTTTGTCCACAAACTAGGAAACTTCAGCATACTATTGACTCTCTCTCAAAACACCTTAACAGCTCAGTTCCTCAAGCTATTCATTTCCTGTGACCTACTTCTTCACTCTGACACACAAAGGTGGTTATACCTTTGATCTTGGCATCACCCACAAGTGTAGGACTTCCCTATGCACAAGAATTCCAAAATCCTCTTATGCTAATTTAGTCTATTGGCTTTTCACCTCTCCTCAGGCCATATTTTACAAAACCCTGTTCTTCACCCACACTGACCTCCAATCCCTTAACCCCTCTCTTCCAGGCCATCTTCTCTGCACTAGCCATTCTCTTTTTTCCTTCTTGACCCTTAGTGAACCAATTCAGTTCTAAATGACTTCCTCTCTTGAATTTCTAGCCCTTCCCTCATCATATTGCCAGCTATGTTTTGCCAAGCCTCAGCCTTGGATCATTCCCACTATCCCTCCTCTTCACTCCTGCATACATGCTGCTGAACAAAGGTGGAGAAAATCACAATCATTCTGGTTGGGTCCACTACAAATTTATATTACATAATCTCAACTGGACTCTCATTGCTTTTAGTCAGTCTTACTATTCCAGCCTCACCAACCCCACTCTCCACAGTGGGTCTTCTAAACCTTTTCAACCCTTCTCAAACTTGTATGGCTTCTGTTCCTTCAACCCTTTCAACTGAGAAACTTCCTTCATATATTACAGGGGGGAAAAAATGAAGCCTTTTGCCATGAATTCTTTTTCTCTTTTCTTCATCTCACATTACTCATAAGCATTCTGCCACTTGTTCCTCCTTCACCCCTTTCTTGCATAATGAAGTGTCTTTACCCCTTAACAAGGCTAATATCTCTACTTGCTCAGGTAACTTCATTTCATTGCATCTCCTCTAACAGACTGTCTCCGTCATCTCCACTCTCACTTATTTTCAATCATTTCCTGTCTACTGGTTTACTGTCAATTGTTTGAAAACCCTGACTTGATTATTCTGTCCCTGTTAACTATCCTTCTAGTATCTCTTCTACCCTTTATGGCTGTTGTTGTTGTTGTTTGTCCCTTGTTCTCAAAGATGACCGTGATATCCAGGAGGTGATACTGTAACATGCAAGTGAATTGGATTTAAGTGAAGGAGGGATGTGCAAAGTCACCAGCCTCACTTTCTTCTCCCCTTTATGGCATATACTTCTTGAAAAGGCCACTTACAATACTTTCTCTCCTCTCACTCTCTTCTTAACACCTTGTAGGGTGTTATTCATGTAAGTGTTCATCATTCCACCAAAACTGCTCTCTCCAAAGTTAGCAATGATCTCTTAATTTCTAAATCCAATGGCCTTTCAGTCTTTGTCCTTGACCTTTCTGTAACCTTTGACACTGTTGCTCAACCTCTCCTCTTTAATATTCTCTTTTTTCTAGGTTTTTGGGACACCATTCACTCCTACTTCTCCTTCAACTTATCTCACTGCTCCTTCTGAATCTCAATCTCCTTTGTGGGATCCTCCTCCAGATCATAGCCACTAACCATACATGTCCCTCAGGGTTCTAGTCTGGGCCTTCCTCTCTTCTCACTCTCTGCCCAAGCCTCTCTGCAGACTTCCCATCTTGTATCTCCAGCTGCCTTTCAGACATCTCAAAATGGATATCCAGTAGACATCTTAAACTCAACATGTCCAAAAAAGAATTATTTATCTTTCCCCCTAAATACTCCCCCAAATCCTACTTTTTTTTTTTTATTATTGTAGAGGGAAATTCCATCCTCTTACTCTCTCAGATTTTCAAGCTAAGAGTCATCCCAGACTCCCCTCTCTTTCACTCCCCATATCCAATCTGTTGCCAATGCCTGTTGATTTTATCTTTGCAACATCTCTTGAATACTCTCCCTTCTCTCCTCTGACACTGCCACCACAATAATAGTGTAGGCCTTCGTTGCCTCATGCCTGGACTACTTCAGTAGCCAGCTAGTGGGTCTGCCTGTCTCAAGTGTGTCTCTCCACTCCAGTCTATCCAATTCAGCCACTAAAATGATTTTACTAAAGCACACGTCTGATTATGTCATCCCTCCTACTCTGTAAATTCTAGGGGCTCCCTATCATCTCCAGGATCAAATACAAAATCTTTGTTTGGCATTCAAAGCCCTTCAGAACCCCAGAGCTATCATATCTTTCCAGTCTTCTTAGACCTTGCTCCCCCAACTGGTACTCTTTGATCCAGCCTCCTGGCTGGACTTTCCATCTCTCACCTCCAAGCATTTTTCTTACTATTCATGTCTGGAATGCTCTTACTCTGCTTGCTATTGTCCTTTAAATCCCCATCTTGTAGAGGAAGCCTTTTCTGTCTCCTCTTAATTCTAGTACAGTTCCTCCATTAATTATTTTCTATTATTTATTTTGTATATACTTCACACACACACACACACACACACACACACACACACACACACATATAATGTGTATATATGTATGTATGTATGTTATCTCCCTCATTAGATTGTAAGCTCCTGGAGGGCAGAGATTGTCTTTTGCCCCTTGTATCAACAGTGCTTATCACAGTTCTTGTCACATATTAGTTATTTAATAAATGCCTGTTAACTGACTGACATTGGGTTTTAGTTTATCCTGTGAAATTTTTTTAATTCAGACCAAAACCAGCAAATCTTTTTGAAGAATATTTGCTTAGGAAATTTGATTTGTATGGGCTTAGAAGTAGCTTGAGGTGATTTAACTCTTCTACCTTGGCAGTATTTTGGGAACCTTTTTCTGATTGTTGTAATTTAACCTGTCTTATTTAAAGATTAATATAACCCTTTCATGTGTCTAATTTAGCTTTCTTTACTATGAAGCCATAGTGATACATATGAATAGTAATTTGTTTTACTGTAACTTAAGCCCAGCATTGCACAGAAGTGGGAAAGCAGACTGAACTGCTTCTGGGAAATTGTTTAGCTCCCTGAAACAAAAGATCTTTTTTTTTTTTATGATAGTACTTTCCTGGTGATTTTTTAAAAAAATTTTCTTGTCATGGAATACAACTTTTTCTAAAGAATTACAGTTGCTAGTTGGGGCTTGGGAAGGAAAGGGTGCAGTGGAGACATAAATAGTCTGTAACACATTACTAAGCAAAATGACTTAATTGATTGGGATTATAATTAAGTTGCTATTATTATAATTATTATTATAAATGATGTTTGAATATTTACATATTTCTTTGGGACTTATTGTAGTTATGTTAACTCTTCCCCAATTATGAATCTTAAATCAGTTTTCTTTGTTCATTCTTGTTCTATTTACTCCTAGCTTAATTCATGACACCTGCTAATTGTGATTGCTTTCAACATTCCTACATTTAAGGTTAATAATCTTTCTATAAAAATATGAATATGCATATATGCATATATTAATTTATTATTAGATACATATGCGTACATATATATGTGTGTGTTTAAATTGAATTTTATTTACAATCTCTTTTTAAATTTGTTTTTAAAGATTTCCCAAAGTGAGGACAGTAGGAGCCATTCTGAGAAATCAGCTAATCTTTCACCGGAAGAAGACTCAAAAAAGCCAGACAAGTTTCCCAGTTTACCCTCCGATGCTAAGACTGTGGACAGTGATAAACAGCCAAAAGAAAGCTTTCTCCAATTCCTTGGTAACTTATTTAATATCTCAGCAAAATCCCCCCAGCAGCCAACCCTCAAAAGTGAGCATGACAAAACTGAAAAGGATTCACAAAATCTCGTTTTTCACAAAGAAGAGTTTAAAAAAGAAAGTGACGTATGCAGCAGTTCTCCTCTGGATGAACCAAATCCAACAACTGAAGAAAGAGATCTGCCTACTGCAGGTGCTCTGTCAGATGCCATTTCACAAGATAAAACACAAGAGAGTGAACAAGAAAGCAGTGAATTGCTAAAGTAAGTTCCAAACATTATTTAACCAGGAATGAGTAGTTTGTTCAAATGTGAAGGGGTCATTAGATAACAATATTACATTGTTTCATGAATGTGTGTAATTGAAGATATACAGAAAGGGAGAAAGAAAGAAGAGCTGATGAGTAGATAAATTCTGCTTCTTGCGTTGTCCCTGATTTATTTATTTTAACAGAGGTACAAGGCATTTAGGTTGTCAGGATTTTAGCTTCATTGTGTGGAAAATGAGATAGGATGGACTTGATGTCTCAAGACACTTCTAAGCTCTAACATGTCATGGTTCTATGTACTGTACAGACAGGCCTGATAAATCCTTTTATGGGTATTCCTTGGGACAGTCTTAATACATATTTGCTACTGTAATTGCAGTAAGAATAACTAAATTTTAGATTTCCTGATTTTGGAAATATTTGCCATTTTGTCTATCCTCTTGTAGGTGAATAGGGATTATATCCTAAATAGATGTTTTTCAGAAACAAAATAGTTCCAAAATTTTAATTATTTTATTGATTAGGTCTCAGGGGAAGAAAATAATCAGTGAATTGCAAGAGATTTCATTTATTGTTAATGGAGCCAATCTTTTGTCCTTTTGAAATAGGCTAAAATCTCTTATTAGATTTGACACTAGCTTTTATTCCTCAACTTTATCAACTAGACCAGAGGTTCCCAAACTTATTTGGCCTTCCACCCCCTTTAAAAAAATTACTCAGTGCTCCCCTGGAAATCTACTTTCATTAACTCTTTTAACAGTTTTTTTCCCTGAAATTTGCTTCATTTCAAAAAAAATACATAAAATACATTTTTTAAAGTGACACATCTTAAATTTAATTATTGTAAATTTGTGGAGGTTTTCCTGCACTGAAATTTTGATGATGCAATATTGCATCATGTAACCATTTAGTGTCATATTACAAACAAGTCATTACACACCCATATTCCTGCCGATGCATGACAGTGTGCAACATGCTCGCCTACCAACACTTGCTTTTTAAGATCTGTCAGTGGGCTTGACCACTGATTGGTTGGTTATAACTTAGATTTTGTGTGTGTATTTGTAAAATAATATAATCACTACAACTTTAACTCTGTTACATAATGGATGAAACATGTACAAACGATTTTTCAAAATTTTCTTCTCTTATGCTTCCACTGCCCCCTTGTTTTTATATCTACACCCCTCCAATTGCACCTGAGGCTATTATTGCTCCCCTGGATTGGTCCAGCATCCCCCAGGGGGCAGTATCACCTATTTTGGGAACCTCTGACTGGACTCTTACCCAGTGAAAAAGTTCTACAATTGCTAACTACTTGGGTATTATTATTTTAGCTACTAATAAAATAATAATAGCTCATGTAAGCTTGAAAGAATTTATTTTGTGACTGTAAAACATATGTTACTATTGATTAGACAGTTTATTCAATTCAGTTAGTGTTTATTAAGTACATACTCTGTGCAAGGCAGTGTACTAGATGCCGAGGTAAAATGATGAAAAATTACAAATTCCCTGCCCTTAAGGGAGAGGGAGGAGGAAGTTAAAACATGTATACAAATGTAATAGAAGATAGAATGTAATGAGTCAAAGAAGAGGCAGGAAGTAGCGTTGTGAGAAATTGAAAGAGAAAAAAATGACTTCTTTCACCTGGATGGGGGATAGAGGGAAGAGAAGGCAGAGAAGATTTCGTGAAAGAAGTGGCATCTGAATTGTCCTGGAACAGAAGGGAGGAGCTTTAATCAATTGAGATGGAATAGAAAAGTTCTGTTCCAAGAATGGGGTATAGCATAAGCAAAAGTGAGAAGACGCAAGAGGATGACCATAAAGAAATTCATTTTTAGTTAGGGGAAAGGGAACAATCATTTATTAAGGACTTATTATGTGCCAGTAACTGTGATAAGTGCTTTACACATAGATACTCATTTGTGCTCATTTATAATTACTCATTTGATCTTTACAATGAACTATGAAGTTGTTGTTCAGTTGTTTCAGTCATTTCCAACTCTGTTTTGAGGTTTTCTTGGTAGAGATAGTGAAGTGGTTTGCCATTTCCTTTTCCAGCTCGTCTTATAGATGAGGAATTGAGGCAAACAGGGTTAAGTGACTTTCTCAGGGTCACATAGCTAGTAAGTGTCTGAGACTGGATTTGAACTTGGGAAGATGATAGATACCATTATTATTATCCTTATTTTACAATAAATATAACCAAGGCAGACAAAGTGATTTACGTAGAATTACACCACTTAGTAAGTGTCTGAGGCCAGATTTGATTACAGGCCCAGGGCTGTATCTATCCCCATGTTGCCTAGCTGATTAGTTAACAAATGCATTAATACATCTCACAAATTTAAATTTAACCTATATGGCTTGAAATCACAAGATGATCTTTTAAGCCATTGGATGAACCAGTTTTTCCTTTTTTCAAAATATGTGGAATAATAACATAGTTACAAGTTAATAAGGTAATTATACTTGATGCTTTTATTTGATATAGGACTTTATATTTTTTAAAGTATTTTCATGCAGATATGAAAAGGAGATACTGTAAATCTTAGAAGCCAAGTTAAGTAATTTATCCTGGATTACCCAAGAAGTTTTTGGCAAACCTGAGATTAGAACACAGGTCTCCTAATTGCTATTCTTGTGATTCTTTTTGGACACCAAGATCATTCTTCTGCAGTTATATTATCACTTAACATTAACTTCATTTTTAAAGAAGAAAACAATTGGATTGAAAGCCATTGGTTTTTTGTTTGTTTGAGAAATTGATGTTGTTTCAGTTCATATTTTTCAGTTAATCTACCTTTATTCAGCACCTGCTATATATTGGGCACTATGCTAAGACCTAGGGATACAAGAATGGTAAAACAATCCCTGCCCTCAGGGAGCTCACAATCTAATCAGGGAAACAATAAGCAAACAAATATATGTAAACATGCTATATATAGGATAAATAGGAAATAATTAAAAGAGGGACTGTACTAGATTTAAGGAGGATTGGGAAAGATTTCCTTTGTTGCGACCCCATATGGGATCACAACCCACAGTTTAAGAGGCACTGAAGGAGTCCTGAGTGGAAAAAGTTTAAGAAGCTCTGCTTTAGAAGATAGGATTTTAGTTGGGACTAAAAAGAAGACTAAGAAGGCAATATGAAGAGATGAGAAGGGAAAGGATTCCAGACATGGGACAGCCAGAGAAAATACCTGGAGCTGAGATGAAATGTTTTGTTTACCAGGAGGCTGGTGTCACTAGGCCAAAAAATACTTCTGAGATCACCAAGTGAAGTGGTAGAGAGGGAGAAGAGCAGAAGGCCCAGACTGGAACCCTGAGGGACATGTGTGATTAGAAGGTGTGATCTGGAGGAGGACCCAGCAAAGGAGATTGAGACTGAGAAGGAGCAGTTAGGTAGGAGAAGAACTAGGAGCAAGTGGTGTCCCAAAAATCTAGAGAGAAGAGAGTATCAAGGAGGAGAGGCTGAGTAATAGAGTCACAGGCTTCAGAGAGGTCGAGGACAATGAGGATTGGAAGGCCATTGGATTTGGTGATTAAGAGATCATTGGTAACTTTGGAGAGAGCAGTTTTGGTGAAATGATGAACACTTTCATGAATAACAGCTCACAAGGTGTTAAGAAAAGAGTGAGAGCTTTCTTGTGTGTAGGATTCTGCTTGTCAAGAATGAAAGCAGATTGAAACTTATCTTAATAGAATACATTCTAGGAAGTTGCCTGAAGATGTGACCTTTCAAGGCTTCATGTAGCTAAAAAGTTTCAGAGGCCTGAAAAATCTACTTCTGTATATAATAAATATGTTGGTAAAGTTTTGTGTTGGTTTGGATATATGATTCCAATTAACATAATTAACATTTTAAAGCTGTTTATATTTAATTTATCATTGCTTTCTGGTGAACAGTGACTTCTAACACTAAGGTTTTTATCATCTGATCTCTCTGTCAAAGAATTAATGAGGTATGTTGAGGGAGAGGGGATAGCAGAGAAATTAAATGCAACTGTGAAAGGAATGTATTTGTAAGGTTAACTTAGAATCAGGAAAAACCTGACATAGAACAGTTACTTATGATTTGAAACCAAGCAAGACCCTTAATCTTTCTGAACCTTGGTTCTCCCCTTTGTAATCTGGAAATAGCACAGTTTACTCTAATGAGGGTTGTAGGATCATGGATTTAGGTAAAGTGAACCTAAGGTTACCCATGGAATAAAGAAGATCTGGGATTTTTGAACACCAGTCTTCTTAATATAAAGCTGGAGAGCATTCCTTTGCACATTCTGCCATACATTATTTCCCTAGATCTTAACCTAGGAATGTTGTTATTAAGAAACTACTTGGTAAACCTTAAAAATGATATGTAAATGTGAAACACTTGGATGGACATATACGAGGTATGACTCCACTGTATTGAGATCAATATATTTGTGTCTAGCTTGTGGCATTAGTCTCACGTAAATTTCCAGTGGTCAGTTACTGTAAAGATCTTCCTTGTTGTGGGCTTCTTGAATGGCCTAATTGTTGGAATTTTGTTTCTGATTTTCTTTTACTTTGGATAGCTTTTTAAAAAAATTATTGGGAATGTATAAAAAAAGACTTTTGTAAACTACTACTCTGTTCCAGGTTTTGAAGGAATGGAATTCTGTTTTATTTTAGTAGATGACAAGAGTGTCATGCAAAGATGAATATATGAAAGAATAAAATGAATGGACTAGCAGGATGCATTATAAAGAGCCTGAATGGTTCTTTACAGTTGACAGGTCAGGCCTTTGGTATAGATAATACTCTTTATTTTTTCTAAAACTTTTTAGTGTTATTTTATTGAAAATTTTTCTTCAGAAAATTAGAAAGCAAATGGCTGAAACCTCCCTAAGTCATGCTGTAGTTCAGGCTTATTTTGGAGGAAGGAGGTGAATTATTTCTTGGTTTAGGGCTAGAGAAGATGGAATTTGTGAGATTAAATTATGTGGTTTAAAGTTAACAGAAGAA